AACAAAACCAGGAAGTCCGAGGGTATTCTGGAACACACATCTTATGTAATTGGGCACCCGAAGAGGCCACGGGCTCATTATATGTGTCAGATCGGCCTCGTGTAAAGCAGCTATCCCGATTAACCACCAGGTTCAGCTGCTTTTGTGCCTCTGACTGCATCAGAGTAATTGCATGCTTTGCTCCACGGGTAATTCGCTGGATTTATTTACCAGAGTAGGACGCTGTAAATCTTTTTCGGTTTGCACGACCGAAGCTGGACGCTGAATATTTAACAACTACCGGCTGCATCGTCTGGGTAATGAACAGTTAAAAATGCATCGACTTGGCCGAGTGTGAGGATATTAATCAGCATTGCGACTGGACTTAACAACTCATAAAACGTTTTAATCTATGTCGATGTAAAGTCGTCTGTCATCACATTAGGGTGTACTTCACTTACTGTAAATGTAATTATCAGTAAGTTGTGTGTCTGTGTGTGTTTGTTTGTTTTTAACTGACGTTTGTGTGAAATATCGCAAATTTGCCGGTACCAAAAATAAAAGCACCAAGCAAGCTTTAACTCTACATGGAGAAAAAATAGCTGGATTTGAGGGCAAAGAAACGCCTGTTTATTTGGGATACACAGAATACAGATTTCCATAAAACACAAACAAAAACACATACATACAAAAAAATCTATACATTTGGAGCACAAGATCTCAATTCAGGGAGTCAAATATTGAATTAGTATTTATATATTTTTGGGGATTAAAGTCTGATTGAAGTCTTTATAAGACAAATGGCAAGAAAGGCAAGAAAGAAAATAAAAGCAAGCACATAAGTTAAAATACTCAGTAACCTACATTAAACTAATCCCCAAGTAGAAGTCAGATTCCTGCCACTGGCCTCCACAGCTGTTACAGGACACAACAGTCATCTCTTCACACACATCTGTCCCCATTTGCCCATAAATTACTCTCCCTTAAACACACTTTATAAAGCAGAGAGAGACAAAGATGGGAGGTATGCGGAAGCTACAGGTGCCCAGCAGCCGAGGAGTTCAAAAACTTATCTCGATTGACATTTTGAGCCCGAAGAAATCGGCCCCGTAATCCTAAAAGAGGCTCCCCACCACTGAGTGGGTCCTCTGAAGGCCTAGTAATGACTAAATGGTGCGGTCTCCTTCAACTCATGGTACCCCAGGTGGTTTGGCTCTGTGAAGAGACAGAGAGGGCAGTTAGGGCACGGAAGGACCACAAATCTACCCCTAACACGCTAGCCAGGAGGTCCGCGGACTCTTTTAGAAATGTAGCTTCCTTCAATATACCCCTAACACGCTAGCCAGGAAGTCCGCAGACTCTTTTAGAAACGTAGGTTCCTTCAATCTACCCCTAAAATGCTAGCCAGGAAGTCCGCAGACTCTTTTAGAAATGTAGGTTCCTTCAATCTACCCCTAACATGCTATCCAGGAAGTCCGTAGACTCTTTTAGAAACGTAGGTTCCTTCAATCTACCCCTAACACGCTAGCCAAGAAGTCCACAGACTCTTTTAGAAACGTGGGTTCCTTCAATTTCAGTTTGAAAAAAAACAAAAGACAAGCAAATGAATTGTTTGTTTCTTTCTTGTTTCTTAAGTCTTCCCAAATTCAAACGTCGTCCCCGTTAGAAAGGAGCTTTAAACCAGAACCCAAAGTCCGGACGTCACTGAATTATTTTCTGCACATCCCAAATGATGTAAGTGAAGACAGCCGCTAGCAGAACGCGTTTGAGTGTGTAGATGAGTGTTGTGGTACCCAGGCTCATATTCTCCTCCACCAGGGGCTTCTTCTCGCTGCAGTTCACCACTCTCCCCTGCGCCGCCCCCAGAATGGTCATGATGTCCACCAGGTCCAGCTTCCCTTCCTCCTTGGCCTCCTCGACCTCCTCCGCCAGCTCCATGGCCGCCTCCTCCCGCTCCTCCACCTCCTCCTGGGTCAGCATGGCGCCCAGGTCCTTTCCGGGTGCAGTTCCACCGCCCACCTGCGGCGGCGCCAGAGAGCACAGGGCCCTCACTTGGCCGTAGGACCTCAGGTGCGACGCGTTTGCTCTCAGGAAGAGCAGCAGCACGTTGAGATCGTTGAGGGGGCACCCCAGTTGACGCCTTTTGAGCAGGTCCAGGGCGGGAAGGACCTCGTAAACGGAGACAAACGCGGTGTCCCAGACGAAGAGCCTAAGGAGGCTGAACAGAACCAGCGGGGCCAGCAAAACGTAGACGGCCCCGTTGGCCACGCTGATCACCTGGAAGACCAGCTGGCCCACCATCTTGCACTGGACGAGGTCGGGGACCCCGCTCGTCTCGCGCAGGATCCCCGTGCGCACCAG